ACAAAATAGCATACGGAATTACGCAAGGGTTTTAAGCAGTTAGAAAAATAAGCATACAAACAAAAGTTTAATCGAATCAACGGCGTTGTTACCATTGTTCTGTCTGTGTATTAATGTTCGAATGGGAATTTTTCATGAATTTCTAGCAAAGTTTTGGGCTTTGAGATATTCACTGAACTTTGACAGTATATCATCGTGGAATTCACTGGGACGAGATGATGATAATGAAGAAGAAGTCTAGGGATGAAATACTCATGAATAATCAATCCCCTATTCAGACAGTAATGAAAACAAAACAAGGCGTTCAGCAAAGATGCTCTTTCCAGAAAATTCATACTCTCCTGAAGCTGTCTGCAGTCTGGAACAATATGACTGTAAAGTTTGCTTTTTGTTAGATGTTACAAATGGAAACATTGTACATAAGTTTTGTTTAAAACGATTCATTGTAAAATGTGCATAACTGCGGAGTACAATCTAAAATACAGCGGGTTGCTCGACACTTCGTCTTCTCACTCGTCTATACTGTCTACTTTTTTCACTAATGACCGTCTTGTATCCCCTGAAATTTTCAGGAACCTCTCATCCTCACCAAATGACTATTCTACAACCGGTGCACAGCTTCTACCGCCAGTAGACACAACTCCAGCAGTGAATGCTTGTATGGATTATATCAACAATTCTTAGCAGTGGACTTTAACTGTATCACCAAGTAACCAATTAATTTCTGTAACTCGTTAACTGTAATTTTTTATCATATACTGTTACAATATTATTTCGTTAACTTGGATTTTTATTCTGAAATTTTCTACCGTTATGGAGCTGTCTATTAAGTCCTCTACAGATGTACAATTGAATTTACATACAACCTCTTTTCGATGAAACAGGGTAATGAAAAAAAGTGACGAGTTGTCACAAACACAGTCGTGAATATTAATCAATGTAAAAGAGGAGTTGAATGAGTGTATTAAAGTTACGTAATAACATGAATAGTTTAATGAACGAGTTGTAGTCAAGATGCACATAGAAACGAAGGAGAATATGGAGTAATGTGGGAGTCCTGAGGAAGTACAAAAGTTATAAGGATTTAGAAAAACCAGAAAACAAACGAAAATCGACTTAGTAGGAATGAACAAGATTTTTATCATGTTGATATTAGTGGTTGGATGATTTTCTTTTGTGTATACATAACTCTGGTTTACCCCAACTGAATGGCTAAGGCTTCAGCAATGCAAAGGAGACGAAGGCGTATTCAGTGTGTTTGGCAGGTTGTTCTTCACTTTGTAGATTACTTTGAAGCAGAAGGAGTTTGTTGAGGTGGAATGACCCGTGTTGGTTGACAATGAGCTTGATTATCACACTCTTTATACAGCAGCTACGACTACCTTTCTGCAAACATGTGAGATGCTGTTCTTGAACGCTTTTAGACAGGAAACGCGTCAAATGAGCAATATAGCTGCTCAATCCATCTCAATAAACTCCTTCTCCTTCAAAGTAATCTACAAAGTGAAGAACAACCTGCCAAACACACTGAATTCGCTTTCATCTCCACTACATTGCTGAAGCCTTAGCCATTCAGTTGGGAAAACCAGAGTTATGTATACACAAAAGAAAATCATCCAACCACTCCTACCAACATGATAAAAGTCTCGTTCACTTCTACTTACTCGATTTTCGTTTGTTTTCTGGTTTTTTTAACTCCTTGTAACTCTTGTACTTCCTCAGGACTCTCACATTACTCCATATTCTCCTGCGTTTCTATGTGCCTATTGACTACAACTCATTCATTAAATTATTCATCATATTATGTAATTCTAATACACTTATGTATAACCATATATATGGTAGTTTGATGTACATGTCTTTCCTAGGGGCGAGTTGGAGAGCGGGTCTTGGTGTTCTGACTAATATATATATATATATATATATATATATATATGTTAGTGATTACATTCGACTAAAAGTTCATGGTCGTAGATAACTGAATACGAAAAAGTATATAGGTACAGGGGTGTGTGCATGGGAGAACAATTGTAAATCATTTGTTAGCCTCTCTATAAGAAGATATAAGGAATCAGGAATTTAGACTAGGTATGATTAATTATTGATACATATACATTTTTATTTATCAATCCGGATTTGCCATGCACCAGCTAGCATAACACCTTCACATCTGTTCAGGCTGTTGGTATTCACCCGTATATGTAGGGCTTGCGCAGTTAGTCAGTCTTACTTTAAACGAACCAAAACCTTTTTATAGAACCTTAGTCCTATCAAAGTCGATTTTGTGTCCCGTTTCTATCGAATGCAGTACAATCATTGATCTGTATTCCAGCTTCTTTAAGTCTGCACATGGCTTTGGAACCATCTTTAGACATTGTTTATGCTCTTCCACTCTTATATTTACCTGCCTGAAATCGATAACATATCTCCTGAAGCAATGTTGTTTCTCTCGACACATGTTCCAATACTACCGCACAATGTTCTTCCACTATTTCCTTCAAAAAACTCTTATCAGTAGGTAGAAATGTATTTGAAATTGTCCGCGAGTATAGATTGTGACTTATTATAGTAATTAGAAGAATAAAACAACTTGAAAAACAGGGTAGAAACGATGCATTTTGATGGAGAGAAAATTTAGGTAGCCCAGTGATTTAAGCAGGCCGCCAATCACACAATGTACTCAAGCCTGTCTGCCTACCGATTTATAGAAGCTTATTTTAAACCATGTCAAAAAAACAACACGGAATCAAATTCGTGACTTTCAAATTACACAGTTGATGAGGTGAAGTTTCCTTTGGAAACTGGAATTATTCAGACTACACAGTACGTGGTCTGTTTGATGATACAACCAAATGGTAATCAAGAAAGAAAACATAAGTGTATGATGTAATTTACTATTGATTCCTGCATATAAGTGGTTGAATATCACTCACATCAACCAATATTACCCGCTCAAGCAAGTGACTAAACGTCCATTCGGTGTTTACATCACTTCATTTTGTCTATTTGACAAGTACTACCAGTGATTGATGTGAGTGGTTTACCAGCTACTCATTTCAGCCAATCAGTAGAATATAACAAAATAACAAAAATAAATGTGAAAAAGGAAATAATTAGAGCTCGTTCTGTGTAACTGTTAACTTCCGGCTGACTGGTTTTTCATTTACTCACTTCAAGAAACCCATTTAAAAGTCTAAAAAACTGATATTAATGAACAAAGAATATTCTTTTCGATAAATTCGTCTTCTGGTTCTACATTTAGATGACAGCATTGCTGAAGAGTCCCAAACTAGGCCGACGAAACATCTGTTTTGTACTCCCTGCAGTTTTTTCAATGGTTCTCTAACCTATGTCAGCTCATAATGGAATCCTGTAGCCTAAGGAAGTATTGTTATTAACAAGATAATCGTTTTAAATTATATTGAATCAGTAATGTCGATAGATTACATTTCAGTTAGAGATAATATGCATTCATATAACACTAAGCTAAATATCAAATAAATTATGTGAGGTAACACTGAAATTTGTGAAATTATAGGTCCAACAGCAGGTCATGTTAGTACACTATTGCTGGACTTGTTTCTTTTCCACACAGAGCTCCAGATGATTTAAGCGAAATGCGATGACCTTTCATGTTTGCAGCGTTCAAGATCTAGAGTTATTTTCATGAATTATTCGACACTCGATAGGTGATAGAGAAGGAATCTTCAATGCTACATTTGCATTGTGGCCTACATTTGGAAGAGGCGGTCTAATATGGGACTGTTGGTGATTTGAACAACATTTCTCTTTAGTTAATCACACTGGTAGGCGTTCCTGAGGTTAGCCTACGTACTTCATCTTTCATTTGGGTAATCATAACAGGTTTTATGGAAAATACGAACTGCAGCTTACTACCATACACTTATGAGGCATTGAATGCTGCTGTGGTTAAAAAGACTTTTTATGCAGCTGATATCATAATAAGTGAGAATGTGAAGCCAATATATCTATCTAAGCCCTTCGAACATGCGAAAAATGACGTCACATCCCATTGTATTTACCAATTTGAATGCACGTGTGGACATACACACATAGGGAGAACTCATCGATCTCTGCAAGTAAGGGCTGGCTTCAGAGCATATTCCTAAATGGCTCCAGAAACAAATCGAATCTTCAGAACCTATTAATGGTGAGAATAAGAGACCTAGCTCCACTAATGCGAAACATATTCTAGAGACAGGACATAAAATTGACGTTAACACATCTTTTATACCTATCTATAAAACGTGTTTGAGGCGTATCCTAAAGTTTGTGGAAGCCCTAGCTAGTAAATATGCGTTCATCAAAAACAATTTTTCATCACAATAAACCACCTTCCTTGGTAAACTTTGTTTTGATACCACCCAGGGCAGATGTACTGTTACTTCTCTTATTTGGTTTAGTGGTCTTCATTGTTGTTTTGACCTTCAATATGTCCCTTTAACTTGACCTAAGTAGTCTATTTTCTCACCTCTTAACTCTTTCTTAATTTCATATATGTTCTTATGACAAGTAGGTGGAGTGTGATCAGATTGTTCGAAACGTGTTGCACAAATACAACATCACACGATTCAGACAGATTACGTCTTCTTATTGATTTATCTAGTCTCAGTAATGTTTGATATTTCTTCTTCTTCTTCTTGTTCCTTCTCATCCGTTAACATCAAACAGTGTGCTCGTCTAAGAAGACTTGAAACAACTGATACCTGTGCACTGATGGGGTGTGATGATCCCAAGTCTAGATGTTTGTTGGAGTGGGTTTTCTGAGATTTTGTAAATTCTGGTCTAAAACTCTTACTTTGATAAAGCTATTAGCAGTAGCATTAAATAGCGAAACGTCAGTAAAAAACAGCGGCAATATCGTTTTGCTCTTTTTCATTCATTAAGAAACACAAAAAGACAACCTTTATTATAATGAATATATCGCATATACCCAATGCATTACATAGAAGAAATAAAAAATCAATAAATTAGCTTACCTTTCTAGAAATCGCCACATCAATACCGAAATCCTGTGTTCGAGTTGCCATTTTTATATGGTATGATCAAAAAGATAGATAAAATATATATAATGCTAGAAAGATAGATAGTGTTTTTCTTGTTTTGTTGCTTTAATCAAGTGTGGAAACTGTGATTAAACTCCAAAATGTGAAGTGAAATTTGAAGACAACGCTAGCGCCGAAATCAATCTGTTTTAATGCTGCTAGTGTCTCTTAACCGATGTGTATAAGGGTTTAATAACGAATGCGTGAACATTGGAAACATACCTACATATGTGCATATGTGCACATACACACACACATAATCGCACTTACCTACAATGCCTCAGATCGATAAATTTGTGATCTAGACATGTCCATTCACAATCAGAATCTATCCTTGCTACCTACCTATCTATCTATCTATCATGTAATGGTGGACAGGAAACTATCGTTGTAGAAGAGAGATTGCCTACCCTTACCTAATACTAATACTACACTGGTATGTCTGATTCCCTATTATTAGAAGAGGAGAGGGAGAGAGATAGAGTGGAACTGAACACTTGGGTTTGGAATGGCTGTTCAAAATTTATCCTGCCTTATCTAACCTTATCTGTGACTGCCTGCCTGCCTACTATAGGAAATTCCTACAAAACCACTAAGAAATTGGAAGTTTCCTCTCTATCTTTTATTATTATGATTATTATTATTAATATTAACGTGATTTGTATCAGTGAATGAATGAGTGAATGCATTTCATCACATCTATCCAGAAGTTCTAGCACACTGTTTGTGCATTTGCATGGTAGGTGCTTTGAAACAACCAATCATTTTGAAAAGTGGGTTTGTTTAACAAAATTTTTCCCTTCTCTTATACTATGACTTTTTGCATTGTTATTATCTATGTAGATATTATTAATGTCCTCTTTTTCTTCATTTATTTTACACAAAAATTGATTATACATACATTTATTAAGCAAAACAAAAAAGAACAATATTTGGATAAGCCTCCAAATGATTGAACCTCGCCTAGATTACTAGAAGTAGCAAAGACAGGACTCCAGGTGAACATAGACAAAACGGAGGTTATGAAAATAACCAACCAACAACAACAACAACAACAACAGCGGCAACATCCAGCGCCAATTACTATCAACGGGAGGGATTTGATGAAAGAGGTTACTTCATTCACTTATCTAGGGAGCATTATCTCAACTACACGAGGAACGGAACGGACGAGGATTTCAAATCGAGAATCGGGAAGGCAAGAAACACATTCATCAACCTGAAACCAATCTGGAAATCTTCGTCACTCAGCCTGCATCAACAACAAAATTCGGATTTTCAATACAAACAAACGTCAAGTCAGTCAGTTCTTCTATACGGATGGATCAGAAACTTGGCGGGTCACAAAGAATATTTCCAACAGCCTGTTGCAGACCTTTATCAACAGCTGTCTTCTTCGTTCTATACTGAAGATCAGATGGCCGGAAAGAATCACCAACAAGAAACTATAGGAACAAACAAAACAAGAACCAATCGCTCAACAAATATGCAGGAGAAAGTGGAGATGGATTGGACACTCTCTGAGGAGGCCGTCGGGTGACATCGCGCGTCAGGCCATAGCTCGAGTGGAACCCGAAAGGGAAGCGGCGAGTGGGACGTCCACGGTTGATATGGAGGAGATCGTGTGAAGAGGAACTGAAACAGTATGGATTAACATGGATGCAAGTGAAAAGTACAGCAGAAGACAGAAGCAAGTGGAGACGTGTAGTTGAAGCCCTATGTTTCACTAGGAACCCAAGGGAACAATAATAACAATACAAATGATTGGATTTTGTTTTATAAAACTGTTATTATTATTATTCCCTCTGGTTCTGAGTGGAAAATAGGGCTTCAACAACAGATCCCCATTTCATTGCCTTATTTGTAGTCTTTGTCAGACCACTAAACGACTGCTAATAGACTACCATTTCCTCCTCACACGATCTCCTCCATATCATCGATGGATTCACACCGGAATCGTAGTTTTCCATTAGGATTCCACTCGAGTGATACTTTGGCGTGTGATGTCGCTTAGTGGTCTTCTCAGCCTCTGCCCAACCCATCTGTATTTTTGAAGTTATTTGGAGGATGGTGACTAGCACTGGAATCCCGGATAACATGCATTTCGTCCCACCTGGGACTTGTCGTCAGCTAGTGGATGTACCTGCATTCCCTAGTGAGTCAGTCACGGTGTCCCCACCGAGGCTCGAACCCATAGTTTCAAAAACCAAGGCGTTATTCACGATAGCCACGTCTCTTGTGCAACGGGTCTTATTCATCATTCAATTCAGTTTAGATTTTCCCATCGATTGATTGGACCCAAAGTGCTCGGTCTCAGGTTGACATGTCAGCCTCCTTGTGCAGATGCTTCGACGGTGTCTGGTCCATATGTAACTTGAAGTCAATTTGTGAATGGTGACTTGCAGTGGAATCCATGATACGCGGGTACATTCAGATGATGAGCCCCGAATAGGGCGAAATGTGCATCGTGGATTCGACTGCTAGTCACTAGCTTCAAGTGAAATGACCAGACAATGTCGATCGAAGCATCTGCACAAGGAGTCAACATTTCAACCTGAGACCGAGTACTTCGGTTCAGCCAATCGACAGGGAAATTTAAATTGAACTAAACATCTGTATATTTGTTGGGTGAAAGGGTGAATTCATTACTCATAGTATATGTTTCATTGGACAATTCTTCTTGCATATCTTTAGTAGGTCATGCATATATGACAGACAAGGTCCCTTAAGTTTCAATTCGCCTTAAGCCTGTTAATCGAATACTTTGTTTTTCAAAAGCTCTCTAAGTGCTTTTATAATCTTCTTTTCTGTAGAATCTGTCGTTTCTTTCTTATAGAGCTGCCAGTCTTGAATTTCGATGCATCGTTAAGAATGGACTCGATTTTCTTGACATAGTCACGACAACGCCTGGATCTTTATTCAGTGCTATTATGAAAATGTGATCATTTTCTTTCAGACATTTTTATTGCTCCTGAATGTTCTTTGAACAAGAATCTAGACTTGGAAACTGGCGAAGGAATGCACTGATTGGAAGTATCAGTTAATCTCGATTTTAACCAACCTTTTGTGTTGTCATTTAATGGGATGTAAGTCAGTTAACTGGTTGAATAGGTCCTCGAATTGAGCCTCTGCATTTATTTTAACCACAAGTCTTCTCGGGACGTGGAACTTGAATCTGGGTGATGAGAAAACCTCAGCCTCAGTGTGACTTAGCTTCACACTGGACAGATTAATAACATATTTTCAGGGTTTTCAGGGAAGTCTTTACAAAACCTTATCACTATCCTTTCCGATTCCAGCGAATAATAAGCTTATTTCTTTATGATTTGGTTTTCCGGAGTAGGATCGCTAGCTCCACGCTCAACCTTTCTTCTTTTTCCTGACTTAGGACCGGCTAGGCGAGGTTCCTACTAAAGATACCCAAACGGAATTGTCTTATCAGATTCATTCTATGAATGATGAACTCACCCTTCCACAAAGTCGTCCGTTAGTTAGAACCCGTTCTACAATGGCTGGTTAAACATATTCGTTCTAATTTGTTGGAAAGGTCAGCCAACCCAATGTATGTATTACATTTATGATCTCCTTCGATGTGACCTCCCTTGTCACACAGGTTCCTCTCCATGAAACGTTAGATATCATCTGTGAGTAAGCTGATCTCCTCCCTTTACCAACACTTAAGTTGAAACTACTGCTATTTTTTTACGTCGTCGTGTTCTCTGAGCTGGATGGTTTATTTGCCATACTAGGCAACATCTTCAGCTCATGCTTCAATTCGAAATGAGCTTCTAGATATCTCCCTGATTTCCTTCTTATCGACTGCAAGGAAATTTCACAAACAAAGAGTCAAACTTCAGGTAAGGGAAACAATCAGCACCAAAACCAATACAAGCAGCCTAGAAGGTGTGAAAACACACAAAAACAACCAACATCTCAAGAGCCCGAAAAATATGCACCAGTGACACAGTGATGGATGAGTTTCGACATATACATTCAGTTTTATTAGCTAATGGTTATCCGGAAAACTTTATCACTTGTCACAGTAAAGAAAGACCACATCTCGAAAAGACAGCGTCTGTACCAAAGAAAGCTATCTTTATTAACCTACCATTCAAGGGTGACCAGATTATGCAGTTGACAGCTCAAAGACTTCGGTCAGCCATCAAACGCACATTCTACTCCGCATCTCTTTTCTCAGATGCTGAAAATTTTCGATCCCTGTACCTGTGATTAAAGGACCAAATTCTGTGGACTCTACTTCAAACTGTATCTACAAGTTCACCTGCAGCTGCGGTGACACCTACATAGGTTGAACCAATAGAATGTTCCAATGTCGTCGAAAAGAACATGTTCCAAAATGGTTATTAAATCATATAGAAAATCCCAATGCGATTAATCTGAATATAAATCTAGCATCATCCATTGCAAAACACTTATCAATGTTAGGTCACAAAATCAGTATCAATGACTGTTTCACAATTATTTCACATAACTCTAATTCAAGGTTATTGAAGGTGATGGAAGCACTTTGGATTAATTATAAACAGCCTAAACTGTGTGTACAAAAAACAATAGAGTTCAACCTTCGACTACGATGGACTACATGATCTTTTAAATATGATTGGTCATTAGTATGTCCTTTTGTTTTTTATTTAACTGAGTAATTGTCATGATCTTTATTTTATTATTGTTAACCATGTTAGTTGTAAAGCGGTTGTAAAGAAACTGCGAAATGATATCATCCCGCAAAATTTGCCTTCTAAATGCCTTATTCAGATCACATTCAAGATCATCAACCAGGAGAGATGACTAATAAACTACTCGTGAAGAAATCTAAAAGCTCACTTCAATTCAAATTGAAGTGTATTCGCTGAAGATGTTGCCTAGTAGCGGGCAATGAAAGCTCCGCAAATAAACCATCCACCTAGCTCAGAGAACACAACTACATCAAAATCATCCACCTGAGCTACAAGTCTTCTCTGTAACAACTGCTTTTATTGAGTACCAAAAGTATACATTTCCAGTTCAACAACAGAAGTTATTTCCAAATTGATGGATTGGCAATGGGTAGTCCATTCGGTTGTATATTGACAGACATTTATATGGCTAGCCTTGAACAGAGAAAGCTTAAATGTCCAATCGATAAAGCAATAGCCTACTTCAGATGAGTAGTTGACAAATCTATTGTATCCAATAGCATGAGTAATGTATCGTACCTGCTTGGATTATTCAACAGTGTACCTAAAAGTATCACTTTCACAATGGTAAACGTAGATGTTTGAAGT